TGCATCTGATTTTATATACTCGTAACAATTATGCCTTTAGAATAATATAATTTTGTGGGTACTTTTTTCGTTTAATGAATAGTTTATTAATATTCAATTGTTATAATTTTCACTTATTGATAATTAAATACATTATCAGTCAAAATTTTGCATTGGCATACGTGCACAACGAAACGTTTCACTTATTTAAATATGAAGGGAGTAGTTTAGTCAGGTATAACAACTATATATATCCATGGAGATCAATGAAATCAATCAAAACAGAGAGAATGAAAGAACATAGGAGAGAGAAATTATGTAATGAAATTGATTTGAGAAGAAGAGAAGAGAAGAGAAAAGAGAGAATTAAGAAATTAGGAAAGTTTTAAAATGAAGAAGGAAAGTTTACCCTAGAAATAAGTGAAGAACATTGAGAAAGGTAGAGGGAAGATACGTGAAATGCATCATTTAGTAGCTGGTCCAAATAAAATAAGGCTAAGCATGGTTCACCTCATAAAGGGCCCCCTTCGCATTGTCAAAATGCATAGCCCATTAAATCAGATTGAGTTGACTTGTGTGGAGTTTAAACGTTAAAACTTAATAGAGATAATTATTCTTACTTTCCTAAAATAAATATGGGATATTCTCTTCGTTCCATAATATAATTACCACATTACTTGACTTTTATCTTAGGGCTTATGTTTATTTTATTTTTTGTTTTATGAAAGATATATCAATATATTCAACAATTCAACACATCAGAAACAACCAATTAAATTTTATCCACCCTTCAAAATAATTAAATTTTATCCAAATAAAAAAAATTCAAATAAGGTTGAAAAGGTCAACGCCTCTTCCTATCCTAGGTGGCAGGATATTATTGGTTGATAACCTAATGCGTAATTTGCTCCCCACCTATTTTCATTTTTTTTTTAAAGAATTAGATTTAGTTCAATTATAATATTTATTACAACATTTAAGGAATTAATTAATCAAAAGACAGCAAATACTCTTTCTCTGATCCCCCTCTCTTTATTTGTTTTCAATCACCTCTCCCACCTTTCTTATTTGTTTGGCTTCTTCATATATTTCTCATTTCTCTAAACTTCTCTTGTTTTTGTTATTCTTTTTCATCAATGGAGATTTAGAGCTTCATTTGTTTGTTGATCTCAACAAAACCAAGAAATTTTTGAGATAAGAGGTACTTATATCTCGTAACACCCTCTTTATTATCTATTTGTTCATTGTATTCATGTCTTAAAACTTTATTATTACGTCGTATGAAATAAAAAAATAAACCCCAAACCTCCTATTTCATCTCCTCAGGCATATTCTTCCATTTTTTGAGAATTAGGCCTACCGAGGAGGATCTAGCTCTTTTTAGTATGTTGCAAATTTTGCATAGTTTTAATATTATCCTTTGAAGGAGCTTACGTACGTTTTGTTTGTGATATGTTTTGATGACTTTAAAACTCACATGTTTATGAATAAGGTTGTTGTTTGAATAACATTTCTTAATGCATCCAAATGTACAATGATCATTAATCTCCATCTTATTTTATCGAACAATTTTTATTTTTTTAAAACATGCATTTTACTATTAAATGTTGAATTTTATGTTAAAATGTGACAACTATGTTTCAATCGTATGGCCTAAATTCCATTGATTTTGTTACTTTTTTTTTTTTTCTCAATACCAAATGACCAATGCTGAAACAGGATCAATCTTTGTGCATGACTTATTCCTCTTTTTTGACTTTGACAAATTGATTGCTTTTATTTAGATTTTTTTTTTTTCACTATAATTGATAGATTAATGCACCAATTTCATCATTCCATAAAAGTGATGCAATATCATTTGTATTGTAAAGGTGCAATTTTTGGAATGAAAACAAATTATGCTAACAGATTTGTTTCTCTATATGGTATTAGAAAATGTTATGATGGATGTTTGTGCCATCCAAGAAATGGACTAATAACAAATCACAATAACTTAGCCACTAATAGTAATAAATTACAATGAAAAGAATATTGGTGTCGCTTAAATAAGAAAAACTCCCCAATGTCTTGAATTCTTGATACATGATTGTTATATGTATGTACTTAAACAATTTTTTTAGCGCAAAAGCGCCAATAAGTGTTTTCCTTGTAAAGAAATACGGAGTTAATAGTATGAATTGATCATTTAGTGTGTAGGATTTCATTCATTGTATGAAAAGATTTTCCTATCAATTTCCTCTTGTCTTTCCTTGCGAGTTTCAAAATATGTGAGCTATATTATAAAGAATCAAACTTAAGAGTTTAAGCTCTCAAAGTAGTAATGGTCAGGAGCTTAAGACAAATTTATTTGTAAGTATTTATATTAAAAAGACATGGTTCAAGATAGCAAGATTTTACCATAAAAGTCATGAAATTATTATATACACTTGGGAATAAGCTAGGTGCAGTTTCTCTCACTTGAAAAAATAAAAAAGCCATGAGTTCATGAATATGATATGTGAGTAATTAAATGTGAGGGAGTGCACCTAGAAGGCTATAGTGAGGTACACCCAGGTGCATAATAGATGCTCTAAAATAAATATGTGCAAACAACTAGGTGTGCAACCTATGCCCTCAGGACAAAAGGAAGATTACATAGCCCATCAAAATTTATATCATTTTAAATTTATAGTTCTGTTTGTAGGTGTGAAGCATGATAATGCATAATTGGTCATCATACAACAACTAACAACCAACATTCGAAAATCACAAAAAAGATTTTTAAGAACCTGATTATAAATGGTCAAAAAGCATAGTAGTGGTAACCATGTATATATATTCTTTTCAGGAGAAAAATGAATGTCAAAGTTGATCATGTCTGCCTTATTCTCCAATTTATTTATTTATTTTCTGCATTGACCTTCATTTATATATTTAAACTGGTTTATTATACTGATAATTCTTCTTGTATTAATTTTATTTTTAAAAATTAAGCTACTATATATATGCAGGTTGAGTTTAAATTTGATAATTAAAAGGGAAAATTCATGGCAACATTAAGGGGAAATGGTGGAGGAAAGGAAATAAAGAGGGGAACATCATCTCCTTCAAGTTCTATTATCAAGAAATCTCCTAAACCTTCATCATCTAATCCAAGTGATGAAAAAACCAGCTCAACTACAGACACCAGCAAACCTGTCCCTAATTATCTCAAGCCTACCATGAGCTCGAGTCTTGACTTTTCCAGGATTCCTAAGAAATCAAGCACAGAAGTCTCTGCCCAAAAACCGGCTCTCAATAGGAGGAGGTCCTTTGAGCGCCCCCCACCTGCATCCCAAGTCAATAAGGCCATTCGCGGTCCCCCTGCAGGAACTCGTGACATTAAGCCTCAACGATCAACTTCTTTTTCGAATAAATCAGTCACTCCCTCTGAGTCTTCCTCCTCCTCTACAAAGTCATCCTCAGAAAAAAGCTATGCTAGGACCTCAAGCTTGAAGGATAGGAAGGTAGGACCGCAGATGAGTAAGTCTTGGAGTATCAAAAAGAGTACATTGTCATCACCAAGTACCAAAAGGGGGCCTACATCATCATCTTCCTCTTCTACAAAGAAGCCTCCTAGAAGTGTAACTTCGGAATCAAGTGTAGATTGTGAGAGTCGATCAGTTGATCGTTTGGTCATTGAGGATGAGTTTGTGAATATTGATGATAGTGAGGTTCAGTCTCTTCCAGAGATGTCAGAGATGCCTGATAGTAATAGTGAGCTGGCTGATCCTTCTGATGTAGAGGTGAAGGAACTCGAACATGTTGAAGAGGATCCAAAGGAAAGCATTGTGGAGGAAGATCATCAACCTCATCATGAGGATAAATCGACAGTTGTTGAACAGGTAATGGAGGAGCCTGCAGCAGTATTGGAGGAAACTGCAGCAGAACAGAAGAGTGAAAAATCCGAAGATCAGAATCAGACTGTCGAAGAAGTATCAGTTGATGATCAGCCAAAGGTTGAGCCTGCAGAAGAACAGAATCTGGCAGAGGGTGCAGAGGATTACGAAGATGACTCTGACATTAAGGTACTAGAAGTGGATCCCCCTGAAATAAAAGTCGAAGAAACAAAAAAGGAAGATGTAGAGGAACCAAAGGAGCCAGAAGCCGAAAAGGAAGAGGAAAAGGAAAAAACAGAAGCAAAGGATGAGAAGCTGGTAGAAGAAGCTGTTAGCAGTCCGCCTGCAGATACTGCTGCTGCACCAGTAAAAACACAGGCTTCTGCGGCCGAAAAGAAAGATAAGCAAGATTATAATAATGTGATTGAAGAGACTGCAACTAAGCTTATGGGAACCAGCGGCTCAAAGAGGCCGAACAAGGTTTTGGCCTTAGCTGGTGCATTCGAGACTGTCATTTCTTTGCAAGACACTAAAAAGAGCTGATCATCATCATACTTATAGATTGGAGTCGATTTCGAGTTGCTGGGGAGTGAGAAGAAGAGAAAAGAAATTGGTTTTATTCATTAATTAATTTGTCAATTACATTTTCCCTTTTATTGTTTTTCTTTTACTGGATTAGACCAGCTGTTATTGAGGTTGGAAATTAATTGGGAAACAGTTTGCTTTGCTTTTGTACAATGTCTTCCTTCTTAATTTCAATTTTTGTTCTTTTCATCTTCGGTTTTTTATTAAAAAAAACTTTTCATAGATTATTGCAAGGAAAGACAAAAATAACTTAGAAATTCATATATAGTGAAGAGTCATGAAATTTTTACTAGTCTTTTGTATCATTGTATGTTTGAATTATGATCAGTTGAAATGAAAACATTTTTGTGATTCTGCAACTCCTTGACTTGGATTAACTCCTACATTGATTATTAATTAGCAATATATATTTACAAGACAAATAACATAGCTATTAAAACAACGGGATCAGGGAAGAAACAAGGAGAAAAATCGAATGCAAGAAATGATGAAGAAACAGAAAACATATGTATGTGGTTCACCAACAATGTGTTAGCTATGTTTACATACAGCGGAAAACAAATTTTAAGGCATATCAACACAGGGTAAATTATAAGGATGACATATCAAAAAAAATGACAAAAGATCTACATTCATACATATATTTATATATAAATATATCCCTTTACTAATAATATAACAGTATACATATGCATAATCTAATACTGTATTTTCTCATAGTATTCAGGAAAAACAAATCAAAAATTCATATCCTAGAGTTTGTAACACTATTCTCCAAATTACTATTAATATTGTCATTATTATTGCAATATCTAAGCTCCAAAGAAATCTGTCTTTCCATCCGAAGTTGACGATGAAAATTCTCAATAAACAAATCAGCCCTTCTATCAATATCTTCAGTACCATAGTTATTATAATTCATCCTTCCCAAACTTCTAAACGAACACAAATCGCGCCTATTATCACTACCATTACTTTCTCCATTACATAACACATCTTCAGAACATCCATTGTATATTCCTAACTCATCATTAAAGCTCAAATGACGAGTGTAACGTCTTCTAGCACTCGATGGAGCACGTAGGATCGAGATCAAGCTCCATTGGCTATACTTAAACGTCAAACTTAAGATAACATTAAGCTTCTTAACAGCCCTCCTTAGCTTGTTTAGCAAAGACCATTTCTTGGTAGCATTGTTATGAGTCATTTTTGTTAAGTAATTTTTTGTGTACAAGCTAAGAAGTAATGGAATATATATAGGATTACATAAATAAGAAAGAGAAAAGTTTGTGAAAGAAGTTACTCGGTTTAAATGAGAGAAGCGTGTTGAAAATTGATTAATAGAATAATGAGAGAAGTTGTACTTAGATTGAAGGGGGATTTATGTGTAACTGATTATTAAAGTGAACGTTAAGAAATAAATAAAGGGTTGCCACATTTTCTTTATATTGAGAGCCTTGTAAGTTTCAACCTTAATCTCAATGCAAAATCTTTCATTTTTTTTCCTTGATTTGCGAAATTACTGTTTGATTGTTTGGTAAAACTACACTATGTGTAATCAATCTTAGATATGATGAGGGTTTAATTGTAATAAGGAATTGAAGTAATAAGGCTTAAATATTAATAGGGTATTTTCATTTTTACCACCTTCAAATAATGACTTTGTCGAATTTACCACCTCCAAAAAAAAAAACATTTACTTTACCACCTCATAAAAAAATTAAACATCAGTTTTACCACCTCATCTGAGCTCAGGTGACGGAAAACGCTTGTGGGGCCCAGCATAACGGCTAGTTTTTGATTTTTTCCCAAATTTCTCTCGATTTCCCTTTTATTTAAACCTAGTTCTTCATTTGTACACCAAATTCTTGCAGATTGGAGATTAATTTTTGCGATTTTCTTCACAAATCAGTATTTTTGGGCAACCTTAACAATCCCAAACCCTCTAATTATCAAACAATCAATTGAACTCCTCGACAACAAGCATCAAATAGGTAAGCCATTGTCGTTAATTCTCTAGCAATTTTCGTGATTTCTGTTGTAATTTTTTGGCAATTCGTTGCGTGATTATGTTGCATTTGGTAAGAGTAATTGAAATTGGGCGTTTTGTGAGGTCAATTAAACCCCAATTTGAATTAAAATACTTAGGGTTCATGTAAGATTAAATTAGATTGGGGGTTTTTGTTATGTGAATTGGCTACTGAAATTAGGGTTATATTATGGTGATTGTGTTCAAATACAATTAATTTCATTCTTGTACTTACTGAATTTCAGAAGGGAATGTCTTCAGTTAGCATGTCACCCTCAAAGGAGAAAAAATGCCAATGTGGAGTTCAAATGTCTAGGCTGACTGCTTGGACTAGGGAGAACCCAGGACGCAAGTTTAGGACCTGCAAATTCTATGATCCTGTGACTGAGTCAAGGGGGTGTAAAGCTTTTGAGTGGGTGGATCAACCAGATGGAACACCTTGGCAAACAGAGGTGATTAACAACTTGCTACTGGACAAGTAACTAATGAAGGGAGAGCTGAATGACATGAAGAGGGAAGTTGATGATGTTAGTGGACAAAGGAGGTGCTTGCTCAATGAGATTGATAGCTTGAAGATGAAATGCAAAGCTCTTAGCTCAGACAGGAAGAAGATGATCAAGGAAGTGCATGGCAGCAATGCAACAACAAAGAAAATGCTCACAGCACATGCTATTGTTGTGTTTTGTTGTTTTGGTTTGGTACTGGCTATGTATTTTAGATCTTAGGTTCATTTAGGAATGCTTAGAAACAAAAAAAATCCCCAACTTATGTTGTGTTTTGTTGAATTATTATGTGTGGATGTTGGGATGACATTTCTTGTACTACTTTTAACAACATCAATGAGAAATGGAACTTTTTGGTAGAAACATATCACAATTCGTATTAGTACTTGCAACACAATGTTTAAAATTGTTTTACATTGGCTGAGACAAAAGTTAAGGCACCTTTGTGCAAAATCATTGTTCAACTATCATTGTTCAACTACCAAATAAACTTGGTTGTCTATTACAAAATACTAATGAGTAGACCTAGGGTCACAGTTGATTGAGATCCTTGTCCTTCTTGCTTGTCATTACATGAAGCTTGGACCTGGTCTGTATTTTGACTTTGGGAGGAGTAGTTGTTGGCACTCTTGTGGGCTGACTCAGGCTCCTGTTGCTCCTGGTAACAGGCTGAGTTGGCAAAGGCTCTGTTCTTGTTGCAGGCTGGCTTGACACAGCAGTTGCAGGTGCAGCATTACTTGACCCAGCCTGTGCTGTTGTTGGAGGCTGATAAGAGGTACTAAGGCTTAAATATTAATATAAGTAATTAAAGTATAGGAACCACACTATATTTTGAGACGGACTTATTTGTAATACGACATGTTATATAGGGTCGCAAGTTGTATAAAACTTCTAGATAAGAATCATATGATAATAGTTATTAATGATTCATAAATGTTTTTCTTGTGTAATCAAATAATACTCATAGTTCCGTATACTTCTAGAATATCTGAAAATTTTGTGATTAGTTTTGGCAAAATATTCATACTAAAAACGAGTCGATAGAGTGTAATTAAATCAATTCCCATAAAAAAATTTGATTTGTAATATTCTTAAAATTAGAGGTTCGAATAATGTGACAATTATTTAAGTAACGACAAGATTATCAAAAAAAAATAAAAAAAAATAAAAAAAATAAACAAGATGAATGATACTGTACTCCATAAATATACATATATGATATACCTTAGTCCTAAAGAAAATCAATACATCATGCTGATGTTGCTCGACTAAAATTAGCTCAAAAACTAACGGCTAACACCCCCAAAATTGTTTGGATAACAGCAAATTTACTACCTTTTAGGCTACTTTCCCCTCTTTCTTTCCTTCTTTCTATCTATAACTTTCATTTTTTGCTTAAGATTTTTTATTGAACGTGATGTACGCAAAATAAGACATGGACAACCAAGACATTCTCATACTTTGGTTATGTTTGTAAGAATCAAATATCTAAGTCATCATACATCCCCATCTTTACTTTCATTTACTTCTTTTATTTTATTTTTTTGAAAGAAAAAATTTATTGGAAAAAATTATTTACTTCTTTATTATTAACAATTTGCTATAGAGAAAAAGTTAAATATCAAGTGTTACTGTATGCATTGGCATTTCATCCTAGAAAAAAAGGATGAAAAAAAAAGAAGAAAAAAAAAAAAACAAACGTTCACACAATCACACTTGGAGATTGAAAAAAAATAAAAAGCCTCATCTCACAATAAGTTCTTGCAATACTTGTTAGATATTGCCGAAAATCATACATCAAACTAGTCCGATTTCACAGTGAAAAAACAAATTTAAACCATGTTGAAATGGATTTCTTAATTTGTTCATTTCATCACCCTTTAATTAAAAGATTAAACCATGTTGAAACGTTATAACTATATGTAGGTAAACCTTTTGTTTTATGCCAATGATTCCTAAAATTACTTAGCTTGAACTACTAATTGTGTAGATGATTGCAAAATGTTACAGGAAAAGTAAGGTATATTATGAGTTTATGAAGGTCTTACATATAGTGAAGAATTTTGTTCTGACAATTTTGAAGCAGGCTTATTAATAAGCTTGTGTAATTGCTCAGAAGTAAACACTCCAACAGGCCTAGAGCCGGAAGAACTGTACATGTTGCTATATGTTACAACTATCACCATCTCGTACCGTTTCTCCAAGATTTGGTCAATCACACGGCCAGCGGAGGTTGAGGCTGCTACATAAGGAGGGCTCTTCATCATTGCTGATAGTGGTTTATTTAGCTGCACCATCAAATCAAACACACAAGTAAAAATTAACAATGACGAACTCTGAAAGTAGCACTGAACCACACTATGTATGAATACTATCCATAGACTTCCCAGTAGACAGGTTCAGAGCAAGTGACTCAAGGCTAATATAACATTTTAGGACAGCATCATATCTAAGTTTTTGATACAGAGTACTTAAGAGGTCACAAAAGTGACCTGACCTGACCTAAACCCAATTGTACTGGATGACGCAACCCAAAAGATTAGAATGGATGAGCTTAAACAGATAGACAAATCAGTGAAAGTTTTCACACAAAAGTAACATACATCTGTACAGTCTTCGCGGTGCAGTAGTCCCACACAATTGCCCCAATCATCTATGATCGGCACAACTGATTCCTCCAGGAAACGCATGGTCACTTCCTTGAGCATTAAGGTAGCTTGTAGAGGGCGAGCTTCTTCAAATGGAATCATGATACTTTCCACTGTATCATCTACTGATACCTATTAGCGGAAAGAGTTCAAACACGTGAAGCACAGGTGAGTTAGCTAGCAGCATTGATGTACAGGAACGGTGAACTATCATGAATTTCATGATCATTCATGTTCATCATCCCCTTTAGGTAACCAAAGGCATCACCGTTCAAAAGTTACAACAAACACAACTAAATCTATGCCTTTAACCAGTAGACACAAACACACACACACACACACACACAAAAGCTAAAGATGACATAGCAATAAATAGATAATAATAATAATAATAATAATAATAATAATAATAATAATAATAATAATAATAATAATAATAATAAATAATAATAATAATAATAATAATAATAATAATAATAATAATAATAATAATAATAATAATAATAATAATAATAATAATAATAATAATAATAATAATAATAATAATAATAATAATAATAATAATAATAATAATAATAATATGCTTCATGAGTTTAGTTCTAGTCTCTTCAAGTTCAAGTTTAGGATTTGACTGAGTTGTTAAAATTAATGCTGATACTTTGTGGCAACTGTCTTCTGTAGGCGTGGCAAGTGATCATACACAAATATGGATATGAGGAGCTGTTCAAGAAAGTATACACTCCTAATTTTATGTATTGCTTCTGTAGAGCTTCTCCTTTATTTTATACTTAGTATGAATCATATGTTTCTACCAAACAAAAAAAGTACAACTTTCTTCATTTGAATATGTAATAATGTTTCTGTGTCATATCAATATATCATTATGACAACTGACTATTAAGACAGTTCTAGAGTATCAAACTGCTCGTATAAAATCATAAATAGCTTGTAACAGGCCGGAATAGAGGAGGGGGTGGTGATACCTACTGGTTTTGCATTTTGGGGGTGATATTTTTTAACTTCGTAAAAAACAGGTGGTAAATTCAACCATTGGTGTATTTGGGGGTGGTTTTTTAAAAAATTTCCTAAATAATAACTACGATCATCAATGAAGAGGAACAAAAAAATCCTAACAAGAAAATACTTCTAACAATATCATATTAGACTAAAGAAACTTCTATTCTACTCGTATTTTTCTTTTTCATAAAAAGTCAATAATGCAGAAGGCCGAGTCAAATAACCAAATCTACATAGAAAGTACAGTAATCCCAAGATTCCCAATTCCCAAGAATGAGTGAAGGAGAGAAGCACAACATACCTGGGGCAGAATATAGGGATAAAATATGGACCGGTCAAAGCCCAACAAAGCCTCAAGGCGTACAGCAGCCTGCATTTGCATAGACATCAACATAGCTAGAAAATAAGAAAAGTAATAGCTACGAATCAGAGATGTCTAACTATATTTAATAACAGTTTCTAGAGAAAGAAAATAGAAATTATGATGTGAGGTATTAATCTATTGTAGGATTTTTTGTTAATAAGAAAGGTATATGAAATGTGTTACTGAAAAATATATATGCATGCCATGCGGAACCCACTCATTCACTTAAAACTTGCCATGTCATTCACTCAGCAAGAAACATGTGCTACAACCGACAATAAAAATTTCTTATTGTAGGATTTGAACATGGGATCCGGACCAACAAGACCTAAATAAGAAGTCTTACCATCTCAGCTTAATATCAGCTATGCTTGGTGAGTGTTAATACATCCTCTGTTTATTTTCCATTGCAACTTTCTACTTGTCAATGCATCACTTTAAGCATTAATAACTTTCCACTAGGTATTGATTGAAAGACATTATAAATTTGTTAGCAAATAACTTGGCAACTGTATGGTTTCAAACAGATAAATATATGTTTTGGATAATGATCAACAAAATACAAAAGCCAAACTCAATAATATGACTTCCAAATGTTAGGGCCACACACTAGTCAAGATAAATTGCAGGAAATGATTCAGCCCAGAGATGCTCACCCAAAAATTTAACTTATACACCCGCCCCTGCCCCCTCGGTACTCCCTCTTTAGTAAAACCCTGTTTACCCATATAGGGTTTGGGTGAATAAATTAGTACAAAAGAAAACATAATTTTAGTAATACTCACCAGGCCACCAGGACTTGTCCAAGATAGTCCTTTCCATCTAGCATTAACATTTGAAAGTATCTGTACAGCAACTTCAACCTGACAAGATACAAAACCAGAAGCAGAGTAAACAACTATATGTAGGATGGTATAAAAGGGAAGAACATCTATTTATGGGAACTTTCTTCTCAGTAAGAGCAAAACAAATATTCTGGGATCAGTAACAGGGCATAAGAACCTGGCCAGCATTTAAAGCAGCTTCCATTAGAAAGTGATCAGCTGCTTCCTGAGTTGCAGGAGTGATGGTTCCTGAGGTATCCAGCCACATGCGATTGTGTAAGTTCTCCACCATCAAAAAATCACCAATGTGAGCCAAAGCACGCATCAAGGAAAGATAAAGGTGAGGCTTTGGCCGCAGATCTGAATTTTCTCCTGCCTTCTTTAATATCTTCCCGAAAACACATAGAGCACCTAAGAAAGCCATAAATGTTTACTTGTCACAAACTAATTGTATATTACAACAGGAAACTATGTCTCCACGTCAGAGGAAACCCAAAATCCAGGAACAACATACAGCTGTTCAGCAAACAACAGATTTCTCTCCCTCGCCCCCAAGCCATGTGCAGTAAACCAAAATGGTAACGATTGAAGACATGTTTTACTCTGTTTCATGACAAAAGGTGATGATTTTAAATTCCACAAGTATTCTTGGTGATATCATCGCAATTGTAATTTTTTCATTAATCAAGCTCTCTGTCATTGTCTAGTAGCAACTTTCCTGTTTCTATCAGATTCCAGCTTGAGGAATAGTCCAATTCAGGGGACCACTAAAAATATTCAGCCAAGGTCAGCAAAGGCAGAATTTGGAATATTGTTGGAAAACTTTAAAAGGTCCCATGAGGGCAACGACTAAACAATAACCAATCCTATAAGACTTTCAAAAACCAATATGACAAGAAATTGGACAATGGCTAAGGTATAGTAATTATAGCATCATAAGCCTCTAAGCCTCTTTGCTTTGGGGCAAGGGTTTAATATCCATCTTAATTACTTGGCTCCTCACATTCCTGTCCCATCTCTCCATTTATAACAGATACTAGATCCTATAGTTCACTCTTTATGCTACAATCTGTATACAATTTACTAGCAATGCTTACAACAGCCCTGTGTAGACTTTATGACTGCAGGTCTTGGGAGGATCAACAATATTTGATTGAGACTGGAGACCACAATGTATGAGAAAAACAGCCCAGTGTAGTCACACTAATTTTCACTCTAGATCTTAAAATTTGTTGAACAGAAGGTGGTAATGTTTTGTCACCAAATCCTGGTTTTTTTAAGTATTATAATAAGCCTAGTGACAGCAGAACTTTTCAAATTTGGTTTAAATCATACCATTGATTAAGCTGCAGCTTAGCAGAGCATCAACAAGTGCAGTATAGGCAACTCGGTCAGTAGAAAACTTTTCAGAAGTTTGCATTTCCATCATTATCTTCTGAACCAGATGGATATCTTTAGCAAGTGCAGCACCCTGTAAACAACAATTGTAAGTAGCAACGATACAATTGAAAACTATATCAGGAGTAAGAGTAATGGCCTCGCATAATTTTTATTTTCCAAACACTGTGGTTAGAGTCATAAACAGCACAATTATTATTAACTAGACCAAACAACACTTACAGTCTAGAAAACACGGAAGAATTTCCAAAACAGTTATATAAGGTAAGTTTACTGACCTTCAATAGAGTAGTATATGTTACATTATCCGGAAAGTGATAGTCAGAATTGTACTTCAGTGCAGCATCCTGAAAAAGAGGGGAGATATGAGTAACTGGTTGCATACTCTCAGGCTCAGCATGATATTGAGGCTCTAAACTGGCCTTTCAACACTTTCTTAAGACCTTCATTTCCTCCAAATATTGCATTGCAGAATCCAGTTTTTCTGTCTTCACTGCAGCAAGGATAAGCATATTATAGGTAAGCTTATCCGGTTTTAAGCCTTGGCGTAACATCTCATTGTGTACAGTAAATGAAGCCTCGGGAGAGCCTGAACTTATGTATCCCTGAAAGAAGAGGGGATGGTTATTGCCAAAGTAGGAATTTATTAATAAGTTTATGGCTAGTATGTACTTCGAATATATTAAAGACATTGTCCGGTTAAAATAAAAAAAAGTAAAGAGTGCTAAAACAATAAAGTAAGAAACAAAAGAAGGAACATAAAGCATATGTAAATATTCCTATTGCATTAAGAAGATAATTTCAGTATCACACCTTCATTAACAAGTTGTATATCAAGATTGAAGGGCCCCCACCTTCATGGAACACAAATCCATAGCGTGCAAGAAGACCATTGGCACGGCGTAAGTCTCCTGCAGTAAACTATTGAGAACATGAACACGTTGTCCAGGAATTTCTTAACGCAAACTTATAGCATTTGTCATTTTTTTCAAGTTCATTTACAAGTTTTACAGGTTATTATCTTATTAAAATTAATATTTAGCAAGAAAGATGGTTTCTCCAACTGGGAAGAGCTGACGCAGTAAATCATAAATTAAGCCAATAGCAAAGTATTCATTAGAAAATTAATGGTGCTCCATTAAACCAGCTGCCTCTGTTACCCTCTCACAAAGTCACATCTCTGTAAGTTTCCACAAAAAGAAGAAAATGAGCAAGGAAATATTTCTGTAGGTTTAAACTCTCAAGGTATCCCCACTTAAGCTATGCTCTAATAACAGAAAAAATTACATAAGAGGAAACATACAGTGCATTTTAACCTTTGAGAATTTTAGAGTTGAAATGGTCAGAGAAACACAAAGCATTGAATTCCAGCAAGTTAGCCCTTAGAATTGCCTTTCCATCGGTAATAAAAATAATTTGTATGTACTAGTGAGTCTGTCTATGGATTACAGAAAGTTAGACTCAAACTCATACAAAAATTAAAAACTACAGGTACATCTACCATCACTAGGCCAACTTTGGGGGTAAAAGGCAAGAATTTTATAAGATAAAAAGGGGAAGAACTGTTGAATATCTTAAATTGCATGAAATACTACCTGCATCAAGAAGAGCATTAAGCAAACCATGGAGAAGCGATGCTGATAATTCTGGATTCCCAACGGCACTACCTCGCTCCACTGCTTCAAGGAGTTGAAATGCTTCATCAATTCGTCGAGCTTTACCCAAACCCTTCAGTTAAATCAAAATGTATTCAGGGAATCCATGTTTGATAAGTTATACACATATGGTCTGTTAAGGAATCCCTCAATCATATTTCAGATCTTTAAATCAGCTCCATATCGCATCTAATTGAAAGATTTTCCAAAAACTAACACACTTGAAAACCATAAATCCATCATGTAATAATATTTCCCAAAGGGTCACATATATTAAATATAAGCAAGGGACATTCAGAATTTCAGACTTAATTTTATCAAAGTTATAATACTTGGTATTGCCTGGTTCTTCATGTTTTATTTTCAAAACTTCCTATAAGTGTGTAAGGACACACAGTTTCACAAGAGACATCAATTCCAATATATATATATATACAGCATTGACCAAAGAAGTTTTGGCCCAGTGGTCAAGACTGAAATATCAGATACCTTAGGTCCCGTGTTAAAGTCCTTATACAGATCCGTGGCTTAACATGTAATCATGTCATCACGATCAAGGTATACACTTCAAATTTGACCTACCTCGCAACAATGTCACATCATAAACCTTCATCTCCCACCTCCGCTACCCCCATCCCCACTAAAAGAATGGAGAGCGCATCCCTTGATTCCCTTCAAAAAACCATTGGATGCATCATGCATGTATGGTTTAGACATCAAGCAACATAATACTCCTACCTAACTCGTACATTTGAAAGACTTCAAGCACCCTAACCCTCAACAATGTAACCACAAATTGTATTAAGTTTACATACATAAAAATAGGGTCAAGGGCATTCTCCCTATAATTTCTCGCTTACTACACTTCAATCAGGAGCAAGGGTAAGAGAACAGATTTCAATCAAATGGGACGAGAGGCAGACTAAGGTAGATCATCCACCAATCGACTTCAATTATTATTTCATAATTTGGTATCATGTATTATGCTTATTCAAATGCCGCAATTTATAAACATCGAACCATAGAGTTACTTAACAAGATCATCTCATGACCAGAGATAATTCTATGAAAGGAAACTACTTTATGAGTCAATTGGTATACAAGATACAACCATGAAATGATCAACCTTGGTGAAGCAACTAAAACAGACCATAAAATTATATGACATAAGTAAGATTCAATACCTTCAACAGAGTACCATAAGAGACACTATCAACACGGCAACTCCTTGACTTAGACATTTCATCAAACACCTTCAGTGCAGAATCAATATCACCACAATGAACACAAGCCTCTAACACCGCATTCATCACAATTGTATTAATCCCTCCATATCTTTTTTTCGCTACCTCAATTTCTTCAAAAACCTACACAAAAACAGCCCAAATCACAAAAATTACAATAAACCCGCATCAAATTACAAAAAACCCACTTTAAATTTCAACTCAAATTTCACATTTATCCCAGAAAAAAAAAAACGGAAATTCACAAAAATTGAGAACCTGATTGAGTTGCCTGCGACGAGTTAACTGCACAATACGAGAAGTAAGACGCTTGAGATTGGATTTGCGGGGTTTTTTAGGAGAAAGATTATTGAAGATTGGAGAAAAATGGGTATAAAAATGATGATCATTTTGGGAAGAAATAGAGGGAAAATTGGGGAAATGGGTTGGAAATTTGCTAATCTGAGAATGCATTTTATGAAATTGAAGCTAACCCATTACCCATAATCGGAATGTGAAGAAGTTTGGAGAAACAGAGATAGGAGAGAATCCGGAGAAGAAGATAATGCTGATGAAATTGGCGGGGAATTGTGGGGTCCAAAACACCTTTGCTCAACTGCTGGAGTCTAGTGTTTAGAGTCTACTGTGCTGATGATTTATGAACCAGAAAAATTAAGATTTTAATTTGGAAAAGGAAAAATTGCCGAAAATAATCCCAACTTTCCTTCAGCTGTCCAAAATAATCTTAATTTTCGATTATTTTTTAATAATCTTAACTTTATAATCCATCCGCCTAAAGACAATCCAACCAATCATTCAACTTGTTATTACAAGTTATCAAACACGTGTCATTTTATTATTGGTTAGAAAAAAATTTAAAGCAGAAAATAAAAAATAATAAAAAAAAAACTCAAAAAAATAATTAAATCAAAAAATAAAAATAATATTAATATAAAATAAAAAAAACCAGAGCCTTGAACTCAGCCACCCTCACTGCCACACACCCAGCCTAACCCCCTGCCTCCAAGCGCCGGCCGCCGCCAGGACACCCTCCCCTCCCTCGGCGCCGGCCCAACCACCCTCCTGAAATGTAAGCCTTTACTATTTGATCTCGTTTTGGTCATAGTTGCCCATTGTTCGTATAATCGATTAATTTCATAATTTCACTCACATTCTGAATTGGTGTAGAAAAGTCTGAACACCATCTTGCTGCCATATATTTTCCTTCATATCACTTGATTATTCTGGAATTGTATGACATCAATTGAGCATTTGAGCTTCAATTTACTTGAGCAATTAAGATATCTCGACCAATTGCGCTTCTATATATCACTTCAGAGAGCTTCAACCAATTGAACTCTCAAGTCGACATACGCTCTCCTATAAGGTGGTCCTGCGCCGAAAAGGGGAGGGGGATTGAGTGGCGTCGGCCGGAGGGGAGGGCCCGCCTAAGGGCGGTGCTAATGGATGGTGGTGGTTTTTTTTTAATTAATTAGTTAATAATAATAATACTAATAGTATTAATATTAATAATATTTTTATTTTTATACATTAAACCTAAACAAAAAAATAAAAATAAAAATTTACACATGGTAACATTTATACATTAAACCTAAAAAAAATTACTTGTTTAACAAGTCACCGGTCACTTGGGACTGTTTTGAGCGATTTAAGTATAAAGTTGGGATTATTAAAAAATAATCGAAAGTTGGGATTATTTTGGACAAAGTTGAGATTATTCTTGGCAATTTTTCCTTTGGAAAAATATACTTTAATTTTTTATAGAAAGATAGCTTGGGCATTCATTAAATCAATTTCCGACCAAGCCATTAAGGTTTGAGGAAACGAACCAATACATACATACTACCTCTGTTTCGTATTATCTGCAATATTTTCCAAAAACGCATGCTACACATTATCTACAACAAATCAAACGTTTCCTCTTTTAGTAATTTTTTTATTGTGTAAATTACCACTATACCCACTTAATTTTACTTAACTTCAATAAACAACATATTAACTCTTTAACCCAAACTAATTTATCCATAATTAAAACCCTAACCCACATTCTCTCCCCTCCCTCACAACCACATCCACCACCAACGTCACCAATTTTTCTCTCTTCTCTCTCTCAACCACCACCAGCAGCAACACTCTTCTCCCTTCTCTCTCTTCTCTCACAACCACCACACCACCACCACCACTTAGATCAAGACGCCGCACCTTTAACCTTCACCCTTGCCAGTTCACCGCCGCCTCTTTTTCCCTTTTCAAAGTCGCCGCCCCTCATACAGTCTATCAAATTAAGACTCGCAATTTGGGAAAGGTGAAATTCGATAGTTTTTTTAAGCAATAAGGGATGAGGTATTGGTGGTGCTACCTTTCAAATCTTGGTGGTGGTGAGGTGGGATTTCTATTCGTTTCCTTGGTGTTGGTGAGTTAGGGTTTCAAATCTAAATTAGTGGTGGTTAGTTAGGGTTTCAGTTCGTTGGAGGTGGTAAGGTGGTTGTTTCGATTTGTTGGTGGTGGTTGGCCTGGTTACGTGGGGTTTTGGTTCGTCGGCAGTCACTGGTGACGTGGGGTTTCATTCGTTGCTGGTGGCTGGTTACATGGGGTTTTGATTCGTTGGTGGTTGCTAGTGACATGGGGTTTTGTTCGTTGGTGGTGGCTGATGACGTGGGGTTTCGATTGGTGGTGGTGCGAGTTGGTTGGATGGGTTTTGGGTGGTTGTGGTGGGGTTTCAGTTATTAGTGGTGGTGAGAGGGTGGTTACAAGGTGGGTGCTGGTGGTGTTTACTTTCTCTCTCATCCAATTAATCACATGCCTCTTTTTTTTTTTACAGATCTTTGCTTAAGAAATTTTGTCTTAGGTCTTATGCAAGCTATTTTGTTGCAGATAATACGAAACAGAGGTAGTATTTAGGATTACAACTTGTATCCGACCTTGCTTTCATGTGAGCTAGTGAGCTACAATATTACATGTTGTTTAAATATGGGGAAAAAAATGAACCAATACATAGATATTCAGAATTACTGCCTGTCTGCCTCCATTGAGCAGTTCTTAATGCATATCTTATAAGCAACATTACATATAATTATTGTATTAAAACTTTTAAAGGTTAGCTAATATTTCGGAGTTATGCATTTAAAATAATATACCAAAATTACACAGGAATATGCTAAATTGGCACAATTCATAGATTAATTCAATCTAGCTTGATGAATATTTTTGGTTAAAGAGTATTCTACTAAATTAACACCTTTCAGAGTTAATTGTTAATACAATCTAGAAGTCAAAGCATTAAGAATGATGATTCTGATGAACTGATGATAGAGAAAGATAAGGCAATGTAGGATTTGATCCTACAACCTTGATATCACGAAAAACATGAAGGTTAAACCTTTGAAGGTAAGCTCCTTGTTTGATAAAAGCCATGAGGCAAATTGCAAATTTAATTTTTTTTTTCTTTTTTTTTTTATTAAAAAAAATTAGATATGGCTTGCATATGAAACCAGCCTTTTGAAAATATAAAGTGCATAAAGTGTTAGTTACACACTTACATATATTACAAGTGACCTAGTGAAAGGATTAGGTTAATTAAGATAAACGAGTGATTAAAATTTTCAAACAAAATTATTAAAAGACTAGCTCATTACTCAACTAACAGAGCTTGTTATTTACGCACTCAACATATATCTTTGACAAAATTATTGTAAAGGAAACATAAGATGGAAATCATGGAATAGAATTGAAAAATGATAAACTAAAAGGTCAAAATCCCACTGCCCTTATTAGTATTACTTGTATTACGAAGCATTATTATTATTTTAGTTCAGTTTAGTTTATTTAGATTTGGATTCATTCATTGCAACAAAATATAACCTATTTAAGTGTTTATGATGCACAAAATTAAGGGATTTGTTAAACATCGCCCACAAATTACTACATAAAGCCCACAAAATTCACTTGGTTTCCCAAAATTGCCCTTGACCTTAAAAAAAACACTCACACTCTCATCACTCACACTCTCATTGCTCATCTTCTTTCAATCTCTCTAAAAAAAAAAAAATTCAAAATAACGGCAATGTCGAGGCGGCAAGGCAAGGAAGTGGCGGCGGCGGCGGAGGGAAGGATGTCCCAAGGTGGAAAGGTATAATTTAATTAAAAAAAAAAAAAAAAAAGGGGGAAACCGCCGTGAACGCGGTGGGGCGCCCTGGCTGGACGCCCAGCCGGCGGTGGTGGCGCCAGATGAAGACGCCGCCACCAGTTGGCTGGCGCCTGGGCTGGACGCCACCGCCACGGTTGTGGCGTTTAGTCTAAGCGCCGCAGCCGTAGCAGTGGCGTCCAGCCCAAACGCCAGCCAACTGGTGGCGGCGTCTGCATCTGGCGCCACCACCGCCGGCTGGGCGTCCAGCCAGGGCGCCCCCCCAATTTTTTTATTTTTTTATTTTTTTAAATTTTTTTAAAAAATTGTTTTTAAATTTTTTTTTTTTTTTTTTGTAATATAATTTTGAATTGTTTTTATATTTTGTTGTTTATTTTTATAAATTTTTTCAATTTCGTTGTATTTTTTCTACGTTTATATTTTGTTTACTATTATTTGTTTGTTTTTAGTGTATTTGATTTGCGATGATGATTATTTATCGTATAAATTTTTGTATGTTTATATATTTTAAAATTTTGTGTAGGGTCGTCATGGTGGGGGGAAGAATATAGAGCTTCTTAGTAGAAGTTATTCAGTGGAGAGGTCGGGGCATAGACATGTCAGATCCCGTGGTATTTCGGCCTCAGTTCGTAGAGAACGGATCCACCGTCGGGATGAGGATGACGATGACGATGATGATGCTGAGGAGGGTGACCAGGAGGAGGAGCAGGAGGAGGGCGCAGATGAGGATGAGGATGTGGACGATGGCAGTGGACCGTATGATGATTACGGTCCATTCAGTCAGAGGGTTGATGACATGTACGAGACGCATATGGTGGAGGTGCGTAAGGGTAGGGGTGGTAGGTTTGTTAGTAGATCTGGCACATCATCTGCGTCCACTGTCTCTGGGGCAAGCAGGAAACGGTCGAGGGCGGGTAATGATTCTTGGGTTGTTAGGAGTGAGGTGCCCGGTGGGCCTGTTGACGGGAGTGTGATTCCTAGCTTTCTAGGACACATAGCTGCCCGTATTTGGGAGGACCAGGAGAGGCCTTCAGTTACGGGGTTGTTGAAATGTCATACCCGGGAAAAGACTTGTAGTTTTTTGCGTACATGGGCTGAGGCCTGGCCGGCGGAGAGCGAGATGTTCGAGCGACTGGAGGGAACTGGGGTGAAGCACGTTCCTGCCACCATGCACGATAAGATTGACAGTACGCTGATCACGGCTTTCATTGAGCGATGGCAGCCGGATACAAACTCTTTTCACCTTCCGTTCGGTGAGATGACGATCATGTTACATGACGTCGAGGCCATTCTGGGGAATCGTGTTGAGGGTAAACGACTTTGTGCTGTGGCTGATGCGGATCAGGCAGATTCCCTGGCGGAGTTGTTGGCGGTGGACAGGGCTGCACTGTACACCGAGGCGCTAGGTGTTTGGGAACACGGAGGTGTGAAGATCGCATCTGTGTTGCAGCGGTGTTTGTACCCGAGTGCACGTAGGACGCCCGACGCACAGCTGAGTGCTTATGTTTTCTACTCCTCGGATGTACCTTGTTTCCGGATAAGAGCGGCGGAAACAAGCTCAGGCCACGCGACATCGTAGAGGCGTGTGACCCCGACAGTGTAGGCCAGTTTTCCTGGGGATCGGCTACGTTGGCGTATTTGTATCGCCAACTAGGATTTGCGAGTCGGGCTGACGCGGCAGGTATCACTGGGTGTCTGACTCTATTGCAGACTTGGATATACGAGTATTTTCCTGCATTGCGACCACATCGTGACCCAGTTCCTATTGATGAGGGGATGCCGCGTGCTTGTGCGTGGAGTCCCCGCTCGGAGAAGAAGTCCGTTGACCGCCTCCGATCGATACGGTTATTGATGGACAGGCTGTCCCCCTTAGAGGTAACGTTTATTTATAGAGTCTACATTTTATTATTTGCACATATTATATTCATGTTATTATATTTTATATGTTGTAATTGTATAGGTGAACTGGATGCCTTTCGGCCCGAACCCTAGTGTTAGGGTACCCAGGACCCTGTACACGGGACTCATTCAGTATCGTGACATCGTCGAAGCGTACATGCCCCAGCGTTGTCTTCGCCAACTTGGATTTGTCCAAGTTGTCCCTCCTCCCCCGGCGTGCCCGATGAAGGCGGTCCGACCTGCATCGTCGAGGGAGTACGTCGTGGAATGGCCGGATATCATGACCGGGACGTGGGACCAGTTTCCGATGGTGGCTCGATTATGGACAGCGGAGTTGCAGCGGCCGCCCTCTGGGGTTACTCCCATGTGTGACCATTACTACATGAAATGGTTCAACC